TCTAGATTATTAGGAGAGAGAACAGATCCATACTGACTTACGGGTTCACTTATACTTTCATCAGTATTGGCTTGAGTGGACGTTGTCTTGTAATGTCATGTAACACAGCTGTTAGGTTCAGAGTATAGCTCTGAAGAATTATACAGTCTTAACTGTCTTTGTTACCATGCATGAGTAATAAAGTAGAAGGGAGCTAGCTTAAGTGGAAGAAGAACTGTTACTAAAGGAGATTAGGAAAGTGGTGATTTAGAAGAGTTAATAGTTAATGTATGATGACAGAAATGAGAAGTCTAGATGTAATTAACTGGCAGATAATTTACAGTAAAAAGTTGCTTTACATTTTATTTCCATCTAGGTTTAAGGATTGTTAATAGAGGTTATCCATTTACTTTTTAATGTAATGAACATCTTTTGCCATGGAGTTATTCTGATTGGAGCCTTCATTTGTTAAGTAACTTCCTTTTTTTTTTTTTTTGGTGGAACCGGGGATTGAAATCAGGCCTCTGCACTTGCCAGGCAAGTGCTTATTCCACTGAGCTATCTCCCCCGGCCCCCAATTAAGTAACTTCTTATTTTGATGTAAATATGATTTGAAGTAATGGATTCCTTAGTGAACACTGGCAATTCTCTTTAGGTTTGTAACCATACAGCGCTTGACCCTTTACATTTTTCAGATTGTATTCATCTTTTGAGCATGTGACATTATTGAGATAAGTATGGCTACTGTTAAGAGGAGACTGTTGGACCACTGTTGACTGGAAGGACTTGGCACCTATTCTAGAAATGACAAGGTTTACATGTGAAATGTTTTTCTTTTTTCTATGTGGCTTGAGTTGCCAAGTCTTTCCCTGGAGGCTGATGTTTGCAACTTATAAACTATGTTTTTTATTCTTTAATTACATTAACAGCTAGAATTGTTCATAGACTTTTCTTGAGGCTGATGCCAGCTGTCTTTCATGTCTAAAAGAAATTGTAGCCTAAGTAGAGACTATTGTTTTAGTCTTTAAAATTTCCAGAACTGTTCTTTGATGTACAAATTCTCCATTTGTTTCAGTTCTCTGTGATGTTTTAAAAATATGCTTGCTGTAAGATAAAATACTTGGTCATTCTTAGCTACAGAATTTAAGTTGAAAATTCAATAATGTGTAATACTGCTGTTTATGTTGGGGTGTCCAGTGATTGTTAGCCACTTTGCCCATGGTCATACTCTTATGTTTACAATGGTATAGATTTTGGATATGTTTCTCCTTAAATTCTGTACTGCACCAATGACACAATTTTCCCTTTCTCCAGATGGCGAATGGTGTGAAGGTTGACTTGGGGTCACATTTTGTCATTTACCCCTTGAATAAAGAAAATCTTAATGCTTCATTTATTAATTTGTAAAGTAAATGTAATACAATCTACTTTTCATAGTTGTGGCAAGGCTTAGAGAGTATGTTTGTGAAATGCAGATACACTGCTTGGCTCTCTGTGATGGTAGATGAATTGTACCTACAGAACGTTATGACTGTGGAGCATTGCCTGTAGAGGGCTTTGACAGCATGATGCAGATACTGTTCTGGGCTGTGCATGTACATTACAAAATAATCTGGATTAAAGAAAACCTAGTATACAGTCCTGTGGAAGTTTGTAGCTCTTCTTGGAACAAACCATTTCTGTTTCATGCATTGATTCACTCAGATTTGTGAAAATAAACCAATTTATTTCTTTGTAAATGGATTTGACCTATAATCAAGTGTTTTTCTTTTCCTTTTTTTTTTTTTTTACAAGGGTGCTATTTTCTTGGAAGGTGTAGCTGTGAAAGGTGTTACTCAAGTAACAACTCAACCAAAGTTAGGAGAAGTACAGCAGAAGTGTCATCAACTGTGTGGCTGGGAAGGGTAATACAGATTTTAAAGTTTTGAATAAAACTGTTACTCTGTAAAACTTAAAATTAATACAGACTTTGACATAGTTTCTTTGCTTTTTAAAATTTGTATGTTTATATAAAGTACTTAAAAAAGATGTCAGATTTGCTTTGAGATAATCAGTAATCAGTTGAATCAAAATTAGATGACTCAGTAATTACTGTTGTCATTATCTAGTGTTTATCTTATGTCTTTGATTCTACTGCTGCTGATTAATATTTGGGCTGGTTTTAGCAATTTATACTTTAAGAAGGGGTAAAAGCTGAATTTGCCTTATTTTCCAGCTTTGTTGTAATGTAGAACCTGGGAAAGTCAGCTTGAAATACATTTTGCTTCCTACCATGTCTTGAAGTACTTAGAAGACATTTCATGGGAGGTGATGTAGGAGAGAGTTCATTGGTCTGATCTGTTGCTTTTTTTTTTTTTGGCACAACTGGGGATTGAACTCAGGCCCTTGCACTTGCCAGGGAAGCGCTTATTCCACTGAGCCATCTCCCCGGCCCTGATCTGTTGCTTTTAAGTCTTGGTCTGTTGAGAAAATTATATAGCTTGGACACAAGGAATCAGGATTAAATTTGAAGATTTCCTTATACAAATTCCTGATAAAGACTAGAAAATAAGAAATTAGAAAAAAATTTTATCTAAAAGATAAAAATACTGAAGAAATAACATGGGCCATAATGTTGTATTAAACTCTTGTAAGTGCACCTTACTGTTACCCTGAGTTTTTCCTGTTTTGTTGCTTCTGGGCATGTTTGGAACAGAAATTTGCCAGCTTTGCAGAGTTGTGTCATATTGCCAGTGTCATGGGAAAGTATGGGGCCCAGAATAGTGTGAGATAATTAAGCCAAGATGTAAAGTGTGTGTGTGTGTGTGTGTGTGTGTGTGTGTACATATATAT